ATAAACTTTTTTAAATATATTTACCTGTTTAAGTTCAAGTTCTTGAATAAAAACTGGATTTTCACTATAAACTTCACATAATCAATTCTGATCATGAGTAGCACCATCAAAATATAAGCCAACTGTCATAGCACCTGCACGATTTAATTCTCTCATAATTAAATTATTATCATGCGCATTAATTTCTGCTTTTTCAGTTTGGTCTGATGGATTTACAGCAATTACTACTGGTGGTATTCTAGGAATACAAGCTGAAAGAGCGTAAACTGTAATATATGTTGCTTTTTTAAAATTACTAATTTTGTTATGAAGTTCCTCTATTGTCATTGTTGTTGGAATTGTGGTGTTATCAATAGGTACACATCCAATCTATTTTTGCCGATGTCTACAAACTTCAATTAATTCTGCAACTTTCGTTTGATCTTTTGCACATATAGTAGGACCAGCATAATTATATGCTTCACGCCATATTGTAATAATATCTGAAAAACTTGACGTATTTATTCCATAAATATTATAATAGATATCTGATTCATTTCTTTTACGTCGTAAAAATCGGATTGTTGGTCCAGCCAAATTTGCTGTAAGCCAACGTGTTGCTAAAGTGCTAATAGACATAAGCACGATTAAAAAATCAATAAAACTTTCATGATATTCTCCAATTCCTCTCATAGTAGTTATATCACGTTGCATTTTATCAATAACTTTCGTAATAGCTTATGCCATTCCAACAAATACAGGTCGATTTTTTTCCATTGTCTTATCAACCAAAAAGTTTATACATTGTCCAATCCAATTTTCAAGCCCATTGGTTTCAACTGCTTCAATAATATGCCCAAGTGCAGGATATTTATTAATGGTTGTATAATAGGAATAATCTGACATTTCTTTTTCAACATACTTAAATAATTGTTGTAATTCTGTTGATCTTGTATTACCAGGTCGATTTTTTAATGAAGAAATTACTGTATCATATAACTTTTTGACATCGAATTGAATCCAGCTATTTCCAAACTGAGAAATAATACTTGCAGATATGTGCTGACCTTCTTTCAAGAGAAGTAAACAATCAATCTACGTAATAAGCTCTTGATAACGTCAATTTCTTTTTTGTACGGCATCTAATTGCGCCAGATTATCACATTTAAAACAATATTTAGATGTTGTGTACTCTTCGCATTTGTTACTTTTAATGTATCCATATGTCTTAATCTTTTTATCAAATAGATTATCATCACGTAAAATTTTGTAGTTGTTCATTGATGTTCCATATTGTGCAAGTACTGCAAATGACTTAGAATAATAACCATAGCATACTAAAAATAAAGAATTTAAATAAGATTTTTTTATTTTTTTAAATATAATATTTAATAATTACCTTTTTTTGATGATTCCGAATGCATTCCTGTATCTGTATCCAAAATTTCTTTTTGTTTACTTTCAAAATTTAAGAATGTAGTACGAAGCCTTTTGGAAGGATTTGATTTTTCATATATTACATTATTTTTATGCATATTTGTTTCAAGATGCTGCTATAGCCGATAGCTGTCATTATTTCGATGTAAAGTAATTGGTGTTCCAGTATCACAATAATGACAATAAACTTGACGATCACTGATTTTTTCTAATTTTGAATCTTTTAAAAATTCATCAAGTGATGGTATCTTTCGGTTACTTTGAATTTTATCTTGAATCTTTGGTTTTATTTCCTGTTTTGCCTTTGCATAAAGTGTAGAATAGTCTTTTTGTATTTTTTTCTCTGCAGAGGGACCATTATATACTTCTGTAGGAAAACTTAACTTTGTTTGCACATAAGTTTTACATTTCACTGTTGTCGATTCTTCTTCCATTTTAAAATACTAAAACAAAGAACATTAGATAAAAGTCATAAAAATATAACTATATATGTTTTATATAAAGGCGTATATCACATGCATTTAGTATGTATTCTATCCTTATATATAATGTACTACAAATCGAAAAAAAATTATATTTAACTGTACATTTACTATTTATATTTTATATATATCGTACATCATACACGTTCTATTCTTATGCTATGTACTACAAATCAATTTTATGAGATTAATAGCTGTACACCAAATTTTTTTTAATAATATTAATGAAATGTACTTCAAAAGTCAAGCCACACTACCATTAAAAAAGGCAATTTGTGTGACAGTACGATAAACCTTTAAAAAAATCTGGCTTAAGTGTACGACAAACATATTATATATACATTCAGGGGTCCTATTTAGACGTTTAGCCAAATCCAAAATGAGTTTAGACAAGCAACCTTAATTATGACAGAAGAAGGTTATCTTATCACTAGTATATACCTTGATATAGGTATTTAGGGTAGTCTTCTTCAGAAATATTATATAAAATAATGGAAGAAGACTATTCTAATACTAGTATGTGCTCAGGCATTAGTACTTCATTGGCACATTTATTTTTCATCCTTCAAAAAAGAGATGTATAGCAAGCTATTAAGTAAATCATAAATAAAAAGGAAACAGATATGTATCTAAAAAGAAAGTTTTCTGCGTAATTATATTATATAAAAATGACAGAAGACTTATATGTGTTCGGGCAGTAATGTGCATTTTATGCTTCCAATGGTAAAAAATTTGATTGAAAGCTTCCAATCCAAATAATTTTATTAATAAATTTTGCTTCCAAACCCTCCAAAGGTGCTTCCAATCTTCCAAGTGCACATCACTGCTCATCCGTGATCAAATGAACTATCACTTTTCTGAAAAGCCTTACAATTACTTTAAATTCCACTTACAAGATAATTGACACAATACTGGCATTGATCACCCATTTTAAATAAGACATTCAAAATGATAAGCATGTTCACAAGTTAGAATATAACCTACCTCGTGAAAATCTATACAATCCTCCAAGTCGCAGTATCTATCTTTTTGGGGCGGATGTGATGTATTCCAAGCCATCGGCAACACCTTGAACTCTGAGTGTTAGAAGTTCGTAAGTTTTGGAATTTGAACATGATGATTTACTGAGATTTTGGTAAACAACCGTAAATAAATTTAAAAGAAAAGGAGTATATTTTTCTAAATATCCGATGTTATGATTCTTAGAAAATACTTTAGTGAAAGAATTACTATTACACATCTGATCATTGAATTTCGGGTTGCACAAATGTTTCGCTCATTTCTTTGAGATAGGATATACTTCACAAGTTGAACTCGTATAGTATATTTTATAATCTTTTATGTTGATCATTCATTATCATTATTACAGAATTTATTCTGAAACACAAGGAATTAAAAAGTTCTTTTAAAAAAAATCAAATAATGTAAGAATACAAATATGTAAATAAAATTTCAATAAACACGTGATTGTTTATAATTATATAATAAGTAATAATCTCCACTTAAGCACTGATAACCCATCCTTTTTCATCTTTCTTTTGTTCAATCAAATTAATCGAAACAAGTTCATCCATACAAGCCATACGAATCCTTTCTGAAGTTGCAGGAGATCTCAAAACTACAACTTCATTATTACCATTTGCTTTTCTATTTATAAGGGAACAAAATCATCATGTAAATAATGTGTCCAAAAAAAAAAAAATTAATTGAATAATAATAAAAATTTATTTCAACCGTAAAACATTATAACGTACCTTACAGATTTGATAGCATCACGAATAGCGAAAAATACAGAACTACCCAAAAATAAAGGAGGTTCACCAACACCTTTGCTACTATGTATAGTTTTTAGATTAGGATTTTCAGCGTTTCTTAAAGTAGAAATTCTAAAATCTTGCGGAATATCCCTATAATAATTCAAAAAGAAAATTCAGTATAAATAACATTATTAAACATATATTACCATTTTATCCATTAAATAGATAAAAAAATCTATCTCCTATTTGTTAATTACTTACCTAAATCCAGGTAATTTATAATTACCAGGTCCTTTAGTAAATATTTGCCCATCGGGAAAGAATAAAGTTTCTTCAATAGTACACCAACCAACGCCTTGTACAAAAGCACCTTCGATTTGCCCAAGATCAATAGCATAATTTAAACTTCTACCAATATCCATTACTAAATCAGTCCTTAATATCGTATGATCTCCTGTTAATACATCTATTTCAACTTCTGTACAAGCAGCTCCTGTAGTAAAATAAAGATACATTTGTCCTTCCTTCTTTTCCCAATCATATCCTATATCCGGTGTTTTATAAAATCCATTGGCTGATAAATTTACTCTATCCAGATACGCCGCTTTAACAATCTATAATTTGTTTTGTTAAAATCTTATCTTGGTATGATATAAAGAAAATTACTAATAGAAATCTGTTCATACCTCTTTAAAATTTTTATCAGGCATTTTTTCTCGATATGGTTTTAATCTATTGGATAAAACTTCGCAAGCTTTCAATACAGCATATCCATTAAGATCACTGCTAACACTTGCTGCTGTAGGTGAGGTGTTTATAATAACATTTGTAGCTGTCTCCATTAAATGAACTTATTGAGAATAGAATTTAAATAATAATCAATAAAGCTTTAATGCCAGAATAAAGTAGTGAATATAATATGAAACTGCTACCATTCTCCAAAGGAATATCTAAAGCTTCAGCTGCAACTTGTAAAATTTTAGTATGAAGTCCTTGTCCCATTTCAACTCCACCTATCGACAAGATGGAAAGGAATATTCTTAGCAACATTGTCTTCACTCATTTTTCCCTTCATTCTCCGTCTCCATTAGGTGTAACTTACCATGACTTACGAGTACACTACCATCCGTGTAAATGTGCACAAGAGCACCAGCTTGATTCAAATGAAAAACAGTAAAAGATAAACCAAATTTTGTCGGTATTAAACTTAAACCTCTCTTTCTCCATTTATGTTTTTCATTGAATTCATTAAGTTCTTGACGTCGTCTTTCATATTCACTTGATATTTTAACTTGTTCATATATTGAAGGTATATGCCAATCTTTTAATGTCATATTATAATGAGTTTGTTGTCCTTCACTATATAAATTCTTTTCCTATATAAAAAATAACGTTAAATTTGAAATGAAAATGCCTTTGATGAGAGTGAGACTCACCCTAAATTCTACAACATCAAATCCTAATTTATCAGCAATTTCACTCATCATATTTTCAGTAACCATCATTCCTTGTGGAGCACCAAATCCACGAAAAGCAGTATTTGAGTGTATATTAGTTTTACACGTTTTACCAAACAATCTCATATTCGGTATATAATAACAATTATCGCAATGCGTCATTGATCTCTCCAAAACTGCTGGTGACAAGTCGTTTGACCATCCCGCATTAAGATATAACTAATTTTTGGATTTAAGGGAATAAGTTATTAAAAAAGCTTAAAGATTAGTTTACAATATTTAACCTACTTTCAAGTCCAAAGCTTGTAATTTCATATCTTTATTGACTCCAACTTTCCATTGTCCAAGGAATGGGTGACGTTGTCCACTAATTATCATATCTTCATCTCTATCTAACATACATCTTATCGGACGTTTTAGGTGATAAGCTCCAACCAATAAAGCTAAAGTTAATGGTACACTACGAGTTTCTTTACCACCAAATCCGCCTCCTAACCTTTTTACTTTACAAACGACTTTATTCGCTAATGTGCCTAATACAGATGCTCCCACTCTTTGAGTTTCTGTTGGATTCTGAGTAGATGCATGAATTTCAAATTCATTATCTTCTCTTGGTATTATAAGTGATGCTTGAGTTTCCAAATAAAAATGCTCTATGTAACGAGAAAGGATATATCAAAAGATTTAATTTTTTAAATAATTAATTAAAAATCTTTTCCCAATAATTTACCTTGACCGCCGACTCTAGCTTCACCTTCGAATACATAATCAGAATGTTGTAATGCTTCATCAACATCACCTTGAACCATTGTTTTATCATTAAAAAAACTATTTTGTTGAATAGCTTCTTCAATCGTAAGTAAATGAGGTAATTCCTCATATTCAATTTTAACCAATAATACAGCTTCTTGTGCTATTGCTTGCGTTTCAGCTACTACTAATCCAATGATTTGTCCTACACACTGCACTTCTTCACTAACAAATACTTCTTCATCATTAAATACAGGGCCCCATTTATTTTCTCCTGGTACATCTTTTGCACTGAAAAATCCTTTAACCTCCGGTATGGCCAATGCTCTACTTGCATCAATACTAAAATAGAGGGAGTTCAAAAGGAACATAAATAAGTAAACTTTCTTTTTTTGAAAATATTTTTATTAAAAAATAATTACCTAAGCATTTTAGCATGAGCTTTTTGAGATAATACAAGAGCGCCATATAATTCACCTTGTATTTTAGGTAAATCATCAGTATAAATAGCTTCACCCGTAACCTGTTTCATGGAAGAAACGTGTGGAATTCCTTTACCAACAATCTTCTTTTCATTCTCTTTAAATCCAACAGTTTGTACTCCTTTTGACACATTTCTTTCAATTATGCCAACAAATTCATCAATATCATTCTCGTCGAATTCTTTGGTTGATATTCCTACGCGTTTTGATATATCATACCAAAATTTATAAATAAATCCTGAAACTAATGATTTTCTATACGATGCCATTCCACCTGGAGCATTAAAACTTAAATGCAACTCCTATAAGAAGATAAGAGACTCATTAATCTTTAAAAATACTACTTTTCAAAGTACTGACCCTGAACGTACCTCACTTAATCTATCAAGTAATCCTTTTAATATATTCGTATCTCCGAGCTGCTTTCCAATTAACCATTCTTCGCTTAACGGAGTTCTAACACTAACGCTTCTCATACCACCAAATCCGAATCCGACATCTTTAAC